TATATTAAATATATATATGTGTGTGTGTGTATATATATATACACACACAAGGCAAGCCATGTATTTCTCAAGTAAGACAGCCACCTCGCTTCCACACTTAACAAGTTGTCACTGGTGACCCTGGGAGACGTGTGGGGAAAAAAAAAAAACCAACAAAAAATAAGAGGGTGTTGAGGCAGGAGTTACACGCACAAATATGCATGCAGCGGGAGAAGAACACGCACAAACTGAAAACAGGGTGACTTGCAAAAATGTACAGCTACCCAGGTAGTAGTTCTATTTTCCACCTGCCCTCCTCAAACCTCCTCTTAGAAGGAATTAATAAACCCCAAATTCTGGGCTCTCAGAAATGCTGCCTCTCAAGGACCACTTGTAGAATCAGCATGACAGAGCTGCTGAGGCAGTGCAGACAGATGTCACAGAAAAATCACTGAACCCACCCTCAACTACTTCTCCACCTTGAATAAAAAATTTAATTAATTCAGGCATTAAAGTACAAAGAAAAGAGAAGAGAAAAAGCACTGTGGAGAACAAGGAGCAGACATGTGGCTCTGCTAGCACAGGGCTAGACTCAGTGCTGTTGGGCTGCGGCTCTGGCACTTCTGTAGTGCTTAGCCAGGGAGGTGTTAAGGTCACTGCAGTTTGCCCAAGTTGAACTGAAGGCCTACTGTATAACCCTCAGTGCTTGCTGCTTTCTCCCTTCATTTCCCCCAGAGGCATCAGCATAGCTGAGCCCACAAGGTACCTTACACCTAGATGCAAAGATGTGCAAACAAATAGGCTCTGAACACTTGGCAAATGCAGCACCGGAAAGCAGTCAGGCAGCCTCCACTTTGCAAGAAACTTCAGGGAGCTTTAAAAAATGATTAGGAAGAGAATAAAGTTACCACCAACCCAGAACTACAAGGCAACACATACATAACATACAAAGAGGTTTATTCTTATAAAAACTTGGTGTTTGCTGCCAACATCCCAGGGAATTCTCTTGTGCTTACTTCTTGCTGCAAGTCCATACATAGTTAACTGTCTCCCACAGCCCCAACTGCAACACCCATGTTGCTTCTGCCATGCTAAGCCCACCCCAGTCCAGCTCAAGAGCCTTGCAAAAAGGCAAGACTGTCCCATCAAGTGCTCACCCTCTATTCTTGTAAGAATCACCCCGCACATCTTCTGTCTATTTCAGTCTCCCTCTTCTCATTGCTCTTCTGAGCCTGTCTAGTCAGGGTCCAAGCATGATTTTTTCTCACATTCCACAACTCCAAAATTTAAAATAAAAACTGAGGAAACAACAAAGCCACTTTCACCTTCCCTTCATGTCAAACACAGCCAACTGCCCCTTTGACACAAAGGATTGAGACCAGTGAACCATAGCTGGTGATTGCTGTCTGGGGTCTTTCTGGCAAAACTCAAAGATTCAATGAAACTACGGAAGCCAAATACCAGAAAAAAACTCAAAAGAGACCTGGGATTCTTCCTCAGAAGTCCAAAGGATATATACTTGGTGTGATCAGAGCATCTGAAACCTAAAACACATAGTACATGTACACCTTGCAGTAAAAGGAACTGGCATGAAGCAGCAGTAGGCACCAGATAGGGAATAAGGATAAAAAGTATCCACTACCCAGCCAAGGTTAAGGAAGGCCAGCAATTAAAAGCAAGGTCCTGATTTGGGATACTTTCAGAGGATGCAGCACAGCAATCTTACTTTGTGAGCTGGGGTGTGCAAGAGAGCAGAGTGTACAATCATTTTGCTGTAGAATTTTTGGGATATAAATTAATCTATATTTTCTATTAGAGCAAGCACAGGAAGCTTTTAAAGTAGTACCGGATTTCCTGCACCTACATTGTTCATTTGTACATGAGCAGTAAATATATGCAATGCAACCCAGAAGCATCTGAGATGATAAATGTCTAGACAGCATCTTCTGGTTTTCCACCCTATCTGATACTTCTAGGCAAGGAAAAATAAAAATGAAAATACCCAAACCAGAGATTGTTTGGGAACCTGGAAATAACAGCAGGTACGCGCACACAGCTTGCAAGGCCCTAAGAGCTGTTGCTATTACTATCACTGAGAGTGATACCAGAGTAAATTAAACTTAAAACCCCTTAGATCAGAAAACTGAAAAGGCATGTGTTTATATAAATTTAAACCAGATTAGTCAAGTCTCCCAACAAAACATTTCTTGATGAATCTGAGCACATTGGCAGAAATTATGAGCTAAGAAATATTTCAGACACGTCAAGCAAGGAAAAGAGGAGATCCCTTTTCTCTGACTGCAGTAGCCATTCATAGGCTCTCTAATATAAATTTGACTGCCACTCTACCCACTGACTAATGACAAGGAAGCTTGCCTGCCTGCCCTAACCAAATTAGCTAAGTCTGTCAGAAAATCCAAGGAAAAAAAATGCTGAGCAGTTTAGAAGTGCAAGGTCGGTCTTCAGGTTTGAGATAGATGTTACAAAAGAGCGAGAAGCTAATGAAACAGAGATCTGAGAAAACACTGACCATTTCACTGCTGAATTCTTGCCAATTTACTGTCCCTATGAATTCTACAAGATGAACATGAGCAAGGATAGCTATTGCTGAATCCAAGGTGCCCACTGAAAACACAGAAATCTGTACCAGCTAGAAAGAAATCTTCCTTGCTAGTTTTGGTCCAGGTCTTAGAGCTTTAGTGACCAATGGAGCCCATCCTTGGAGACAAAATCCACTGTCTTTTTCAAAGAGCAAGCGGCATAGCAGCTGCAAATTCCTGTGCCAGAAACCTCTACTAACCTCCATCTACTGTCCTTACAACTAGGGATTATGCAGCTAGTTGCTAACAGGTACTTCAAAGCTAGTTTATGTTTTGAATAAGCAAGTTTCATTCTGTTAAACACCTGATTTTTTACCTTTATTATGAAACCAAGAATGCTTTCAGAAGAATGCTTTTTCAAGAGCAGCTCTAGTATGGTCTTGGCTTCAGTTGACTAGTAGTTTCACTGAATAATGAGGAATCACTTTTATGGCTGTGGATCTTAGATTACATTACTAAAATTGTGATAAAAATTATATATGGTAGTCTTTAATAACTATACTACAAGACATGTTAACTGCATTTAATGCCTTTACAGCACAATGTGAAGGAGTGACAATCCTGCCCAATGGACTGAGTGAGAGGCTGAGACGGAACTGAGATAGGGCACTGAGACAGGACTAGGGTTAAAGGAGAGAACAGATCTGGCATAACTTCATTGATATACAAAGGCAGGTCTCCAGCAAATGTGGCAGAGGTTGACAGTCATGTCACAGTAGTCAGAAGTAAGGCCACATAAACTTGGAACATATCACCTCTTGTGCAGCCCTGCAGGCCTCTCTGTCTGAGGTGCAGCAACAATCTAGACCATCATTTGAGTGGAAATAGTACCAATGCTTATAGGAAGTGGCAAAAAGAAATCTCAAAATGCACAGCAGCACAGACTTATAAAATAACATTTTAACATATCTAGAACAGTCCTCTGTCTCTGTATTACAAACCCAAGACCTCCTTTGCCTTTTGGCAAGCAGACTACTAATTTGGCACCTTATCTCATGCAAAGAAAAGGAATCAACAAAATAAAGCATACCTTCTTTTGAGATACATTTAGGTAAGTCAGAACCGGGAGAGTGAGAATTAAAGGGGAAGATGATTTGTCAAAAAGAATAGCCTGAATCCTACAGATTTGCAAGCATCAAGCCAAAATTTTCTAACAATCTTCAGCAGCACTAAAATGGCTTAAATTTACCACACAGGCATACAAATAACAGTGAGGACTGCACTTCAGATACACATGTTGGAACTGGAGCTAAGTGCAAGCCAGATAAGAGATCCATTTACAAAACATTTCCATCCTTGCTGAATTCTGCAACTGATAGACTAGGATCTCAATGGAACAAAACAGGAAGCTTTTCTTCAGTCTTCCAGCACTGAGCACAGGCTGACACCTATTAGATGACCCTCTATGAATTGCTTGCTCCAGTGTAACAAATCAAGTAGCAAAAAAGGCATTTATAATACAAGATAGCCACATCCATGTATCATGACCTTGATTTTCCTTTTGGAATTCTCTCATTAAACACAAGTTCACAGACCAAGTAATCCAGCACTGCCTCAAGAATTTTTTTTCATTTCCAGATTTACACAAAACTCTTAACTCCCGGTATTTTGGCCATTCAATAAAAGCAGACATGAATATAAAATAATTCAATAGGGAGTCTTAAGGAATCTTTCTGACTCTTGTTCTGAGGATAAAAACAGAACAACTGAAGTAATGAAAGACTAAATGACTCGTAAAAGGTTTGAAGTTGTGACTGGAAAATTCTGAAGTATTTTCAGATTACTGTACAAAATAAAACAAAAATTTTAACTAAAGACATTAAACTATGCACACAATGCTAGATGAGGCACCACCCTGGAAGTCATTCAGAGTGGAGTTCTGGGCATTAGTGGTGGGGTTTACAGCTCTGTCTGTGAGCCCATGCAAAGGTGCAAAGAGAGCTGAAAAGGGAATGGAAGCTCCAGGACGGCCTGCATGCTGCTGCTCTCCCAAGCCATGTAGGAGGGGAAGGCTATTTACACCTGTTGGATAGGTTCTTTATTTGGATTGGGTAATAGCTTGCCTGGATAGGGTCCAAGAACAGAATCACCACCACTTCTCTTAATAATTTTAAACCCCTGAGGCAAACATTGTGCTGGAACAGAAACAGGCCAGGAATTCATTTCTCACATTCCTCTTCTTTAGGCAGGATGAAAAGTAGTGACTGATGAAACAAGAACAATTTTACTTGAGCTTTCCAAATCCCATTACAATCTTTCTATTGAAGGACCCATTTGGGAAAGGATCATCACTCAGATCACATGCCTTCTGCACTGTGTTTCTAACTCTCTCACTTCCCTGCATTTTCCAGTAGCATTCAGGCACCAGTAATAAAAATCAGTATATTCATGCACACAGTGCTTTCCAGACCTAAACTCATGTCTTGGAGAAGGCTCTGCTTTATTATTCTGTTTTAAAAGACAAAAATGAACACTTAGGCAAAGGAATCAATATTATTTACTGGAGTGGCAAAGGAAGAAGTCAAATCTCCACCAGTCTTGGGCTTGTATTCCTGCCTGGGTACTGCAGCAAGTTTGCCTTGTTCCTAGCTTCCAAGATTCAGACTCCTGCAAGTAAATCTTGCTGCTCTCTGAATCACAGGAAGAATGGCTTTACTGCAGAATCAGTCCTCTGCCCTGATTCCCAAGAGTGTATAAGCTGCAAATATAAATTCCAATACCCAAAATTAATACAGTATATAAAGAAGACATCTGGAAAATAAACTGTGATAAACACTGCTCTATCTTAGAACAATCTAAATTAAAGCACAAAGATGAGGACTTAGTGGAGATTTCTGCAGCATCAGGTCTAAGTTCGCATTCTGCATATATGTCTCAATGCCAGCAAACCTAAACTTACAGATGCAGGGATGGGAAATGATCAAGGAAAAACAGACACTTCCCTCTTATCCACCATGTTCATCTGCCCTTACTTCACCATGAACCTCACAGCTCTGGGAACATAGCTATTTTCATAGGGCTAGTTTCCAGACCTGAGAGGAACCATTACTAAGCCCTTAGAATCATAGAATTGTTTATGCTGGAAAAGATCCTCCTTTTAAGATCCTCAAGTCCAGCTGTTAACCTTAGCACTACCAAGTCATTAAAACATGTCCCTAAGTACCACATCTACACGTTTTAAAAACCCTCAGTGACTCGACCACCTCCCTCAGTAGCCTGTTTCAATACTTGAGAACCCTTCTGGTGAATAAATTTTTCCTAATATCTAATCTAAACTTCCCCTGACTGAACTTGAGGTCATTTCCTCTTGTCCTATCATTTGTTCTTTGGGAGAAGAGATCAACACACACCTTGCCACAACCTCCCTTCAGGGAGTTGTACAGAGCAATATTAAGCCTCCCACTTCCCAAGACTCCTTTTCTCCAGGATAAACAACCACAGCTCCCTTAGCTGCTTCACATAAGACTTGTGCTCCAGACCCTTCACCATCTGTGTTGCCCTTCTCTGGACACGTTCCTGCATCTGAGCAAGAAGCCAAACACAAATTACAAATGAGCTGAGTGTATTTCATTCTTCTTCAAGACGCTAGAGCTGTAATTTTAACTTACCTGACTGCTGAAGAGACAGATCTTTTGTCATCTCTATGAGTGACTGACTGAACAGGCCACAGTGACCCTCTTTTGTTGAGTGGTGACCAATAGCTCTGTGGGGCAGTTGCATTCCCTTTGCTTATAGCTCCACTTGCCAAGTCCAGGTTTGTTAACTAGAGGAAAAAAAAAGAAAAAAGAAAAAAAGAGAAACAAAACAAAAACAAATCCAAACAAACTATCAGAAACAATTAAAAGCCAAGAAAAGAGAAAAAGGTATCACTAAGTAAATAGGATAGAGTATGTACTAAGAGAAGTGAAACTGCTAGAAAATGGAAGTACTCAAATGCAAAAACACTGTGCTAGTTGCATAAGGCAGTGAGAGATGACACCAACATCCACCATGCCTGAGATGAATTCAGGGGCCAGCACGAAAATTACAGCCCTTCCATTCAGAGAAAGACACAGGAGGAAAAGGACAAATATGGGGAAAAAATCCCAAAGTGAAAAAGTTCCTGACATGTGAAAAATGAACTCCACATGCAATGAGCAAAAGCTAGAAGCTTATATTACACTGAGCAGAGACCAGAGTACCTCTCCAGTCATCGTGAGCTGTGTCAGGAAGCCAACCATATGCACCTGTCCTGTCTCTACCTGCTCTATACATATAGGCACAACCCAAAAGCTTAAGTAGCTTGGATACAAAATTCAAACCAAAACTCAACCAAACATGAAAAAACTGCTCACACAACCACTTACAAAGTACTGTGTTCACACAAATGAATGCACAAAAAACATGTTAGGTGTACATTTGCAATATTAAGCTCTAAAACCTGTGAGTTTTTAAGCATATAACACGTATTTCATTATTTCTTTCTATGAGCATTCCTTCTGCATTGCTTATACTCTTGAAAGATCAAACTATGCAAGCAGACACTACGTGTTGATGTACTGAAGAAATACATAATGCAACGGATCTACTACAGCAGTATAACAGTTTACATTTTGGAAAAAAAAAAAAGTAACAAAACAACAGAAAAGTTGAAAAGCAAACTTTACAAAGGCCTCCCAGACAGACGCCGACATACAACTACCTTAAATTACATGATCACTTTTTTAGGAGCAGCAAAAACATCAGGGTCTGCATGATGCTTAGGATCATATGGTGAAACTGACTTACTTACTTGGCCCTCCTCACTTCTGTAGCAACTGGAAGGCACACAGACAATGAAACACAGGACACAGACAGAAAGAAGAGTCTAACAACTAGCACTGCATCTGCTCCAGATCTCAAAGGTGATACTTATTAAGGCACCCAAAGTTTGACTTAAGCATAGCTTAACAATGCTCCTTTAACAGAATTTGTGTGCAATTACTCAAACAAGCACATACCATCTTCATTGGAATACACTAAACTCATACTTAAAATGGGCTTGTTGAGGACTTCAGACAGTCCTCTCACTGAACTCTGGACTATAAGCATTGCCATTGACAACACAGTAGGCTGTCCCTCCTGTGTTTTAGTAGTACAAGGCACCTAAGCATTTTGTAAATTCAGAACTCCTATTTGAATTTCTGGACAGGATTAAATTCTAGCGGCTATACCTTAGGCTTCTGCCCACTTCTCCAAAAGCAGCCACTTTTCTCATCCCTTCTCAGCTCTATCCTTCCCCATTCTTGCTCCTCATTTGTGTGTCATTATTCTCAGTCAGTCTCAGCTTCTGTATTTCAGGTGTCATTCTCCTTGTCTTCTTCAGTACAGTTTCATTCTTACAGACTTCCAGCCCCAGCTTCCCCACCACTTCTGGACCCTGATCCACACTATTTCAGGTTTGGAACTTTCCACAGGAGTAGTTACTTGATCCCTCTTTCCACACTTCCATTCTTGGTTTCTCACATGTCCTGTATCCTAGTAGTTCTGGTTTCATTCCCCTCCCTAGTCCACTCCTTTTGCCAGCCTCTTTTCTTCATCCAGCCCTTGAATGTGGGCTGCTCACTGGACCACACTTACCACACTACCACTCCATCCATGTCTGTTCTTCCATCTGAATGGTTCTTAGTGTCCTCTCCTAAATTATGTTCAGATATAAATATCACAGGCTCCCTATCCTAGCTGTTCTCCACACCCTGGCAGAACTCCTACTAACTCTGCAGTCAAGTCAGAGAGGTCCCCAACCAAACTTGCACCAAATTACTGAAAACACAGAAGAACAGAAGCTCAAGCCAAAGTACACTAGAGGTGCAAAAACAGAGAAATTCACTTTAGCATCCTCAGTGTGGAGAGAACCTTCAGGAAGCTGAGAAGGTCTAGCTGAGCATACTACACCTGAAGCTTTTCAAACAGTTACTCTGCAATCAAGCTTCAACAAAATTCTGAATTCCAAATTGCTACTTCAAAGCATGGGAGATGAATAGATTTAAAGGAAAAGTTCTGTAGCTATTAAAATGCACAATTTTTTATTTCTTTTTTAATCCAGCCTTGATTTTGGCTGGAATACTTCACCTTGCCTGAAGTATTCTGAAAACTGAATAAGCATAGAAAACATTAATTCAAATGAATAAAGTTTCAGAACACTATAATCAATTTAAGACAAGATCTTACAGTGGGACATTATCAAGCAAGCTTAGTAACGGCTAGGGTTATTCACCTTTTATAGAAAACAATGTTAGGTGTCATTTTGGTGCTTCTACCTCACCCTGAATGTTGCTGTGTTCTGTAGAATTCAATTAAAATTTAAAGCATGTCCATTGCAGTAACAGAAAGCTTCAAATTAGATTTAGTTCTGATTGTGCCAGGCACTATACAAATACCTAACAATGGCAGTTGCTGGTCACAAAGAATTTATTGTCTGAAAAGAAGGAAGAATGGTAAATGATGCAAACACAGAAGGCAACATGGTAAATAAAATAGGTTATATACAATTCTTAGCTTGTCAGCAACAGTGATCACAACTTTAGCTAACACATCCAATGTGTGAAATGAAGATGACTTCATCCAATTTTCTCTCCTGGTCATCTTGATGCCAAGAACCATTTAGTTTGATGAATTACCACCTCAATCCTACTCTATTGCTGGGACATGCTTTCCTTTTCAATTACCATTGTATCAATGTATCATTGTTTATTTGAAAGCTGTCTTTTTAAGCAGGTGAGCAAATAGCTTAGGATGGGTAATAGCAACATTTCACACATTCCAGATAGACAGGTGTTTAAACTACAGCAGGATTAAACACAGGCAAAGGATTCAGAAAGGGAGAGAACACCAGCAAGAATATAAGCTTTAGCTGCACCCAGCCCACCCAGACAGGTGTTACTGCTTGCTCCTGTGCCATGCTTTGAGACATTTCAGCTGCTATAATTAGCTGGCCAGGATGTTGTTTGGGAGGATTACTGAGGCACCCCCAACACATCTGTACTTAGCAGTGGCTTCATTTTCTAGTCTTCCTGTGCACCTGATGGGACTGCATTCTTCCATTTACAGAGGCAAATAGTAGCAAATCAGTTGTTACTTTAGAGTAAAAGGTAATGTAGAGCACCTGGACCAAAATATCCATATAGAAGAGCTTGTAGCTTCCGAAATAGTACTAATGGAGCAAAACCAAACAAATAAAAAAATCTCTCCAAAACCAAGAAAGGCTAGTGGGGCTCAACAGAGAATGTAGGTATTGGTGTGCATCGCAAAGAATTAAGTTAATTTTCAAACTGAGTTGCAACAAGATGGGTTCAAACTCTCCTGCTTGGTAAGATTCCTGTTTTTCATTAGCAGTGATGGACTTGAGAGTATTTTTCCTCACACTGACTGTAAGACAGGATACCTGTGTGGGCTGCATTGCACACTTCAAACATCCAGATTTTCAAACATCTCTTGTCACATCTACACATTCTTGGTGGACCTTGTAAAAGGCAAGACAATACACAGCTAATATCTCTTACGATAGAAGGATTCATAAAGGTTTGCTACAGTTTTTAAACTGATTGAGATAGCAAAGATGTCAGAAGCTGAAAGGAACATGCTAACTGAAGAACACCATGATACAGTAGATTCCCAAAAGCTCTCACAGAAGGAAAAGAACTCACTTGATGTACTGCCATTTACAATACAACATGAAAAAATGGGGGAAGAGGAGAAGAACATGTGGGCTGTCACAGCCATATCAACACAGACCTGTGTTAGGAACAGTACGTATATGTACTGTTATATTTACTTCAATATAATGCTAATTAGCCAAAAGACAAATTATTGCATAATGCTGAAATACTTTCCTACATTTATTTTTATATTTAAATCTTGCAAGTTAAGTTCATGACTGCAATACACTTGCCTTGCCAACAGAGACACATAAGCCTAAAATAACTGATTTCTATCATCATGCCTTATTCAGAGAAATTCATTTCTGAAAAATCTTTGATACAGAAAACAAGGCCACAAAACAGAATGATACCCCAAGTGCTGAATATAGGAGTTGAGGGGTTTTTGTTAATCTGCTTTAAAAATTCAGTATGAAATATGAGTTCTCCAAGTACAGACAGGACTAAAAACTTCAGGATTGAATTTACTTCCAATTAACAGCAGCCTATAGACAAAGATCCACTGAACAGTAATTCAAAGAAATCACAAGCAAGAGTCAGAAAAAGAGCTTAATATCTTTCACTTTTCTGATTCACACTGTACTAGTCCTTCAGGAGTTTCCCATTATCATATTCAATAATCTTTTTTTCTATAATAAAGTTAGTATTTTCTTTTTGATCTTCTCTAATGGTTGAATTAAGCTAAAGCCATCAATTATAACAATCAGAAAAGAAAATAATAATGAGTGTTGCAGATCAGCCTCCATGGATTCAGGAAAAGCCTCCTGAAACCCTGAATGCTTCTCTTGCTAGTTTGTAGGAGTCAATCAGGGTGAAACAGGGACACATCACCACTAGAAGCTGTTACTCTGCCCCTCTTGGCAGGCAGCGAAAAAGTGACTTAAATTTTCATTACCAACATCCTGAACAGCAGATCCAAAGTTTCACTGGTCAACATGTTACAACAAGCAATACACTACAAATCGCCTACTTGATCCTCCTCCAGTTAGCAGTACTAGCACTTTTCTGTGGCAGAAGCCAGTCATATCTTGTTGCCTAAAAAGTGGTGGAGATTGGAGATCTACAAAGTCTAAAGATCATTTCTCGT